CACCACCTGGCTGGTATTTCCCAAACTTATTATTTAAACAAACAATTAACTTGTAAAACACCTTTGAGAAATGCTGAGTAATCCGCTGTTTATCTCTTTCTTTACCATCCAGGAAATTCAGACCTAAATTTAATTATCAATTATAGTCATTATGTTAATTAAGCTTCCACACTTGAATCCTCTTCTAGGATTTTCAATTTCTATTTGAACAGCCTTACTGTATGTGGGTATTTATGTTAATTCTATCTGCAATAATGACTTGATAACATTTAGCAGAGAAAGGAATACATATAAGAGACACTGAGAGACTGGAAAAGATATAAATTACCTAATAAACTTGAAAGAGCATTTCATATATCATGCAAATAACCACGGCAAACATTTAAGAAATAATTAGGAAGTTCTGATATAGCAGGACAGGCTTCATGTTCTTTCCATATGAAAACTGCTGTTTGAAAAGCACACAGTTGACTTCTACTTAACTGTAATTTTTTTTTACTTTAAAATTTTTTTTATTGTACTTTAGATGAAGGTTTACAGAACAAATAGTTTCTCATTAAACAGTACACATATTGTCTTATAACATTGGTTAACAACTGTACAACATGTCAACACTCCCCCTTCTTGAACCTGGAGGACCTTTTTTTTGGTGAAAATATACATAGCCAAAGTTACACCATTTCAAAAGTTTCTACATGTACAATTCAGTGACATCGATTACATTCTTCCAGTTGTGCTGTGATTCTCACTATCCTTTTCCAAATTATTCCATCACCATTATCTTCAACTCACTGCCCCCTAGGATTCCCATCAAACCTTTTGAGTTGCTGTTGTCAGTTTGATCTCACATAGATAATTCTTTTTTTTTTTGTATCTTAGATGAAGGTTTGCAGAATAGTTTCTCATTAAACAGTTAGTACACATATTGCCCTATGACAATGGTTAACAACCCCACTATATGTCAACACTTTCCCTTCTCAAACTTCGGTTCCCTATCACTAGCTTTCCCCCTATCACTAGCTTTCCTGTCCCCTCCTTCCTTCTAGTCCTTGTCCCCGGACTGCTGTGCCTCATTACTCCCATTCTGTTTTATGAGGCTGTCCAATCCCAGGCTGAATGGTGAACCTTGGGAATGACTTCACCACTGAGCTAAAAGGGTGTCCAGGAGCCAAACTCTCGGGGTTTCTCCAGTCTTTCAGGCCAATAAATCTGGTCTTCTGTGAGTTAGAATTTTGTTCTACATCCTTTTCCAGCTCTGTCCAGGAACCTCTATTGTGAGCCCGGTCAGAGCAGTCAGTTGTGGCAGCCGAGCACCATCTAGCTGTACTGGACTCAGTCTGGTGGAGGCCATGGTAGTTGTGGTCCATTAGTCCTTTGGACTAATCTTTTCCTTGTATCTTGTCCTCTTCATTCCCCCTTGCTCCCAAAGCGTTGAGACCAGTGGAGTATCTTAGATGGCTGCTCACAGGCTTTTAAGACCCCAGACGCTACTCACCAAGGTAGAATGTAGAAGATTGTCTTTATAAACTGTGTTACGCCAATTGAGCTAGATGTTCCCAGAGACCACGGTCCCCACAGCCCTCCGCCCAGCAATTCAGTCCCTCAGGGAGTTTGGAAGTGTCTGTGGAGCTTCCATGACCTTTCCTTGTACAAGTTGTGCTGGCTTCCCCAGTACTGTGTACTGTCTTACCCTTCAACAAAGTTACCACTTACTTATTGTCTGTTTAGTTCTCCTCACCCCTCCCATCCCTCCTAACCAACAAAGATTCTTTCTTTTTGTGTGTAAACTTTTACATGAGTTTTTATAGTAGAGGTCTCATACAATATTCGTCCTGTTGTGATTGACTTATTTCACTCAGCATAATGTCCTCCAGTTACATCCATGTTATGAGATGCTTCACAGATTCATCATTGTTCTTTATCGTTGCATAGTACTCCATTGTGTGTATGTCCCAGTTTGTTTATCTATTCATCTGTTGATGGGCATCTAGGTTGTTTCCATCTTTTTGCTGTTGTGAACAATGCTGCAATGAATATGGGTGTGCATATGTCTATTCGTGTGACAGCTCTTATTTCTCTAGGATATATTCCTAGGAGTGGGATTGCATTTTATAGTGCTTTTTTTTGTGGTGCTGATGTTTTCTTTGTTCCCCTTACTCTCCTGTGCTGAGTTCCTTTTGTCTGGAGAATTCTTTCATTTCTTTTGTTTTTGTAGGTTTTGCTTTTACTGAGACTTTATGTTTTTCTTCTTTATTTTGATGAGTAGGTTTGTTAACTTTCTTTGTGGTAACCTTGAAATTTACCCTTATCTTCCTAGATTTGAACCCATCTATTATTACTTGGTATCGCCTTGCCTTCCTCTCCATTAGAAGGTTCTATACCTATACTGTTTATTCACTTTTATTATTCTGATGCTGTTGTCATTTACAGATTAACCTCTCTGGTTCCCCGTTATAGTTCTTTTGGTTTTTGCATAGTCCTTAAGAGTTCATTTCCTAGGTTGGTACCTGGCTAGTACAATCCTGTGTCCTATATTCAGCCTGTGGTCTGATGTTGTTTGTTCTCAGATCGAAGGACTCCCTTTAATAAGTCTTGTAAGTTTGGTTTGGTTTTTACATAGTCCCTTAATTTCTATTTATCTGGAAATGACCTAATTTCACCATATTTGAACAAGAGTTTTGCAGGATATGTTATTCTTGGCTGCCAATTTTTTTCTTTCAAGGTTTTATATATGTCATCCCATTGCCTTCTTGCCTGCATGGTTTCTGCTGAATAATCCGAGCTTAGTCTTATTGTTTCTCCTCTGTATGTGACTTTTTGTTTTTCTCGAGCTGCTCTCAGGATTCTTTGTTTGTCTTTGGTTTTGGCGAGTGTGATTATGATATGCCTTGGTGATTTTCTTTTGGGGTCTATCCTATATGGGGTTCATTGAGCTTCTTGGATGGTCAGCTTTTCATTTCTCATGATATTGGGGAAGTTTTCTGTCAGCAATTCTTCAGTGATCCTCTCTTTGTTTTCTCTCCGTTCTGGAACTCCGATCACTCGCAGATTTTTGCTTTTGATTGTATCCCACATAATTCTCAGGGTTTCTTCATTTTTCTTGATTCTTTTTTCTGATTTTTTTCAAACAGAGTTGTATACAAGTGTTTGTTTTCAATTTTGCTGATCCTATCTTCCATTGTCTCAAACCTGCTCCTCAGCCCTTCTATGACACTGTCCATTTCTGAAATCTTGTTGTTTATCTTTTGGATTTCTAATTGTTGTTTTTGTATGATTTCTAGTTGTGAATTTAGCATTTTGTTCCTGTATTATTTTCTCGAATACTTCCATTTTTTGTCTGTATTTTCCATGAATTTGTCTATTTTTTCCTCATTTTGTCTGCTTTTTGCTTCAACTCTTGGATAATTCTGAATATTAGAGATTTGAATTCCCTATAAGTTAGGTCTAGTGCCTTTTCTTCTACTGGAAGATCATCTGGTGTTTTATTTTAGATGCCTACTGGAACCATCCTATCCTGTTTTTGTAAATGTTTTGATATTGTCTGCTGTCTTTGGGGCATTCAGTGTTTATTTTCCTCATTTACTGATTGTGGATTTGTTTGTTTTATCCTGCTTTTTTGTTTTATTTGGTTAAGTCTGAGCTGGCGGGCTGCGCGTTCTTTGTTGTTTGCTCATCTGTGGGCACAATACTTTTCACCTCCTTCTCCAATGGGCAGGGCAGTCACTCGGGTATGGTACAGCAGGGCAGATCCAGCTGAATGGTAGTTGCTGGGATGGGTTGTTTGTGGCACATACCAGGGCTGACAGTGCAGACCGGGAATCAGTGCAGGACAGGTTCTAGTAGGCCATGCCTGTGCTGCTTGGGATTGTGATGTTCAGTGCACGGTGCAGGTAGGCAGGAAGGAGGGGGTAGACTGTGCTGTGTGGAGCTAAGATGGGTATGGGAAAGATGAGAGAGAGGAGAGAGGAACAGGAGCCATAAACATACACAAAAAAAAAGAGTGTTAAGGAAACTTGCTATTGGTGTGGAGAGATGAGAGACAGAGAAATGGGGGGAAAAAAAGGGTAAAAGAAAAAAATGAATAAATCGAGAGACTAGAAACAAAGAAAGACAAAAAGGGAATAAGAGCAAGAAGACAACAAAACAAAGAAACAAAAACAAAAACAAAAAAAAAAAAAACAAGAAAAAAGAAATGCCCCCAAGGATGTCCCTGTGCATCTGTGCAGAGTAAGGGAGTAGCTTCCATGCTGTGAGGTACTGGCTAGAAGGGGCTCCTAAGCCGAGAAAAGAAAAAGAAAACGAACAAACAAATCAAAACAGAACAAATCAGAACAAATAAACAAAAAAGCCCCAGGGGTCCCACCAGCGTGATGGCACGGGCCAGGAAGCAGTTTCACAGTTGAGTGGTGTTTCACAGCCCTTCAGGAAGAAGCAAAGATGGTGCACGGAGGCAGGTAGTTGAGAGAAAGGAGGGGGAGGTGGTGAGAGGTAAGGAAGAAATCTAAAGAAGTGGAAAAAAGCAACACCAGCAGCCAACAAAAGGCACTTAGGGAGCCAGCCAGTGTGTGGGGGTTGAATCCAAGAGACACCAGGGTGAAGCTGGTGCTTCCAGGCAAAGAGACTGTGGCTGCAGGAAGCAGAGGAGGGTAAGTGGGGGTGAAGAAGAGTTGGGGGTGGGAAAGCCTTTATCACTGGTAACTGGTTGTTCTGTCTCCTGCTGGAAGCTTCATGAAGCTGCTTCCTCATTCTTCCTGTTTGCTGACTTCCGATAGGAGTCCAAGATGGCGGATCCGTGCTGTGGTAGCTGATAGGGGACCTCTCCATGTATCTCTCCTCACTCTCTGTTGTAGTCAGTTTCTTATTCCATTCAGTGCTTGGCTGCGTTCTTTATCTCTTCATTTGATGGTTAGGGTTTCAGGATTGACGTGTGACTCTGTTTGACTTAGTTTTTCTGATCTTTTCTACAGAGGGACGGTGTGCTGCTTCTGATTATAGAGCCATGTTGCCTGGAAGACCCTTAACTGTAATTTTTAAATCTGCCCCTCTCCCGCTCCTTTTCTCCCTTGAATCTCAACAATATTAATCCCATTTAGAGAAGTACCAGTCAGGGTTTAAAAAAAAAAGCCCAAAAAACACAACTTGCTTGAAAAAAAAAAAGCATATCAATTAAAAACAAAAAAAGTTTTTTTTCCCCTTGAACTGAGATATAGCTTCATATTCAAGATGTCATGTAAGCATATGGAAACTGCCTAAATAAGTCTGAGCATTCTGAGGATCATTTGAGCAGGATTAACTAGTCATGTGATCCTGGGAAAACTTCTTAACCTTTCTATGCCTCAATTTCCACATCTCACAGGGATGTTGTATGGATAAAACCAGTTAAACTGGGTAAAGTCCTTGTAACAGTGCCTGGCACATAGCAAGCACTAGTAACTATTCGAAAGTACTGTTCGGTAGTGATAGACAAAGCCTTGCAAGTAAAATGCTCACTGAAGAAATAAATACTAAATAGGAAGGTCAAGGATAACCTTGGGATCTCACAATTAGGGGTCAGGGAATCAAGGAGAACCAATACAGGGGACTGAGAAGGACTACTCCAAGAGGTGGAAGGAGAAATGGGAAGTGTAAACACCAGAATCATTACTCTTAGGTGTTGGTGGTCAAAATACTGACTACTGAGAAGGTCTGGGAAACAGATTTCCCACTCTCATCAAGTTCATGGGTTCTCCACATTCTATGTTTTCTTTTTTTATGTCCAGTAAGATTTGAGCTCACTCTGAAAGCTTTTCCACATTCCTCACATTCATAAGGTTTCTCCCCAGTATGAACTCTCTTATGTCCAATTAGAGCTGAGCACTGACGGAAAGATGTGCCACACTCATTGCAGGTATATGGCTTCTCACCAGTGTGGATTCTTTTGTGCTGCCTCAAGACTGAACTATGATGAAAGGCCTTTCCACACTCTTCACATCTGTAAGGTTTCTCTCCAGTATGAATTCTTTGATGATTGGTCAAATTTGACTTCCCATTGAAAGCCTTACCACACTTTGAACATTTATAAGGTTTCTCTCCAGTGTGGATTCTTTGATGGGTGGCAAGGCAGTGCTGATCCTGGAACGTTTTCCCACACTCCCCACATTGATAGGGCTTCTTGCCAGTGTGTTCTCGTTCATGAGCCCTGCGTTTACAGTTATGACGAAAGGCTTTCCCACACTCCTCACATTTGTAAGGTTTCTCTTCAGGGTGGATTCTTCTATGTTTGCCGAGCTCTGCCTTGATACTGAAGGCTTTCTCACACTGAGGGCACCCATAGTTTTTCTCCCGAGTATGGATTCTTTTGTGTTTGCTTAGGTCTGAGCTCCGAATGAAGGCCCTCCTGCACTCGTTGCATTCATAAGGTCGCTCACCAGTATGGATTCTTGTGTGTTTGGTGAGGTCTGAGCTCCCGCAGAAGGCCTTCCCGCACTCCTCACATTCATATGGTTTCTCCCCAGTGTGGATTCTGCCATGGATGGTAAGGGAATGCCTAAACTGGAAGGCCTTACCACAGTCATTACATTCATAAGGCTTCTCCCCAGTGTGGATAATTTGATGCATACTGAGACGGTTCTTGGTCTTGAAGGCCTTCCCACAGTCACTGCACTCATGAGGCTTCTCCCCACTATGGATTTTTTTATGTCGGCAAAGAGCTGACCTACTATTGAAAGCCTTTCCACACTGGGTACAGTCAAAGGGTTTCTCCCCTGTATGGATTATCTGGTGCATAGAAAGCTGATTTCTGGTCTTGAATGCTTTCTGACACTCATTACACACATAGGGTTTTTCACCAGAATGAATTTGCTCATGGAGAATTAGGTCTGAATGCCAACTGAAGTTTCTGCCACATTTGGCACAGCCATGGAGTTTCTGTTCTGTAGGAACTCTATTATATAGGATACGCTTTGAGCTTGGATTGACGTGCTTTCTAAGTACCTTCTGGTTCTTTCCTTTCTTGACAGTCACTTCCTCAGAGCCTTCTTTCTCTTCTCTCAGTTTCTTCCTCATGGACATTTCCCAATGATTCTCTAATTTGACATCCTGTACACTAACTTCTCCAACCTCAAGACCCTGGGAAACAACTTTCAGGTGACTTTTAAATTTCATCCAGCAAACTTCTCCATTTTCAAAAACCTCTTGTTTTGAATGAGCCTTCTCATTCTCAGGCCATGTCTTGTCAGTTGACACTTAACAGAGAAAACGAAAATGTCAGATGTTCAGAAGAAAGAAAATAAGTGAGATGGGAGAGGTGAAAAGTAAATGACTTTTCCATGCTTGAAAAACTGCTAACATTATGGTCAAGGGTTGGGATAGGCTAAATAATAAAAAGTACTAAGACATTTCAAACTCAGAAACTTTATAGAAAAATCTTTACAAACCTACTCCTCCTCTGGAATCTCCTAGTTTAGTGACTGGCAATTCCACACATCTAGTCACCAGCCAGGAAGCTAGAAACTGTCTTTAACTTCTTCTCCGTACCCTCATATTTGTTCAGCTAACATTTTACAAATTCTGCCTGTGAAGTGAGCTGCAGAGGGGGTGTTGAAGTGTCTGTATAGTACCTCTTTACGTCTGCCCTGTGGGCCCTGGAGAGCCACATTTCTGCTATGTTAACTCTGCTCATCTGGGTAGATTAGAAAGGGGGAGCACCTGACCCAAACCAGGCCAGATTCTCTCTTCTTGGCCTTTGGACTCGTGATTGAAGAGTAGGTTCAAGGTAAGGCTCTGAGAATAGCTAGGTATTTAGCATTTAAATTTGAGGAGCAGTAGTAGTAGGGTGGTATATGGTGCAGGGGAGTGAATGTTTTGCCATATGGTCTGAGAAGCAGAGAGGGTCAATCTGCTGAGAAAGAAGAATGAAGAAGACTCACAGAGAAGCAGAGGAGACAGCTGGAGAGAGGGTCCTGATGGCTTTCCAGACCCTTCTTGAGCTTGATGCATACCTGCCCTTCAGATCCATGACACACCCTTGAAGTTTTATAATAAATTCTTGTTTTTTTTAATTTACTTAAGCTACTTGAATTAATTTTTGCTGTTGGCAACCAAAGAGTCTAAATCAACCTTCTTATTATCTCTTAACTCTATCCCTTTCTCCCCATTTCCCCTGCCAGTGTATTCTCACTAGCTAACTGTAATACCTCCCAAATGTCCTTTAGTCTGGCTCCCCTCTAATCTATCTTCTATACTGTTTCCAGGTTATTCTTTCTAAAAATTAAATCTGATCAGGTCACCCCTTAGCTTAAAATACTTCAATGGCACTCCATAGTTAACCACATGGGAAGGAAGTAAAGTGTAGGGTTAAGAGTCAAGGCTGTCTAGGTTCAAATCCTACCTGTCTTCCATACTAGACTTTAAGCTTCTTGAGGGGAAGGTAGATACCTTATTTGACTCTATATCCCTAATACCTTGTATAGTACTTGTTATACATTGTTGCTCAATATTTTTTAAGGGTGGAAAGAAGGGAGGAAGGGTGGATATTGTAATTGGGTAGTTGAAGTGGGCATGTAAATAAAGGAGAAAAAGTCGAGAAATCTTTTAAAGAACAAATTCAGAAAATAGTTTGAATGAAGAACTGGTAATATTTCATGACTGACAAGACAAGAGGGTCAGGGAGAATGGAAAGGCAAAGTGAGAAAAAGGTAGAACAAGAGATAAAAACAGGGACAGCTTTATGAAGAGACAGCCTTGTGGGAAGAGATTAGTTTGGTTTTAGATACATTGCTTTTCAGATGACAATGGGATATCCAAATCAAAACCAGGAGTTAGAAGCATGGGTCTGGTACCCACGAAAGAGGTAAAGGTTAATGTTATCAAAGTGCATCTGCATCATAGCTGATAGCTGAAGCTATGAGAGAAACTAACCTCACTATAGGAGAATAGAGAAAGGCAAGGGCAGAAGGCCCAGGACTCAAACAAGGAAGGTCCTGAAGAAAACCAGAGGCAGAACAGTGATGTTCTCTGAGCTTTTCTTGAGGGCCAAATTTCAAAGAGCCTGTTAGATAGGTTATATTAGATAGGTTAGATGTGATGATAGCTTTTTTTTTGAGGGCCAAATACTTTGGACATGTTAGCAGGAGGGCCAGTCCCTATAGAAGGACATCATACTTGGTAAAAGGATATGGTAAAAGGTTCCAAACACATCTATGTAAGTAAAATTATAATTATTCCAAATTTTACATGTTGGTAAACTGGTAGTTGGGTAGGAGTTACTGAATTATATCACAAGTTTCATATGTGTAAATATTTACATACACATATATATACTATTTATTATAGATATCAAGTTATATATAGTGTAGTAAATGATGGAATGCATTCAATTTATCTGATAAACTGCTTTGTAGAATCTTTTCTTACGAATCTTAGACTTTTTTTTTACAAATGTGCTTTAAGATGAAGGCAAAAACTGGATAAGTAATTGCTCTTGATACTGACCCAGACTCAGTATACAGCTATGCAATAGATGACCTTTTATAAATGCTCAAAAAAGAGGAAGACCCTCAACAAGATGGACTAACACAGTGGCTACCATAATGGGCTCAAACATAGCAATAATTGTGAGGATGGCCCAGGAATGGGCAGTGTTTTGTTCTGTTGTACACAGGGTTGTTACGAGTAGGAACCGACTCGATGGCACCTAAAAACAACAACAACATTAGATAGGTTGCAAAGAACCAATTAGATAATGATAACTGTCCAAGTAGTTTGTTGTTTTCTCTTCATTAAGGTTTCCTAATGGACTTCCTTTATGGGTCCTTCATGATAGATGACCCACCAGTGGAATCATTCTACAACCATTTCATCACATGGAAGGTAGAAGGGAACTAAAAGTTCTATTACTCACCTGGGTAGAAGGAGCTCAGGGACTCCCTGTCCTGTAGATCCTGAACCCAGGGTTCTGTCTCTCGCTCCAGATGGGAGATCAAAGGAGGTTTAGGAAATGGAAATCCTGGTTAGACAGAAGGAATATGACAGTGTGTAGAGCAACAGAGAACTATTCCAACACTTATTCCTGGCCCCTCTGTTAACATATGGAGACAGGAAAGAAATGTCCATTTGGGTAGTGGAAATGGGTTTTTTCAGGAGTCTGGTAACATGTAAAAGAACATGTTTAGTTAGGGCCTTTCTCAGAAAAGTCATACTTGTAAAGGCAAAGAAGGAGATTCTGGGAAATAATCATCCGAGTGTATTCCCCTGTTCTTTTTGGGAGGATGGGAAGCCATCTGTTTTGGGCTCTTGGATAGGAGTTCATGACTAGGAGCTGAACACAGAGCACCTAACGAGAAATGCTAGAGAAAGCAAGAATTAGGGAGAAATGAAGTTAAATGTCTCCTTTTCACCCAGGGAGAGTCCTATTACAAAGAATCAGAAAATAGCAACTAGGTTGGCTAGAAAATTCTCTCGCTGTGTAACTGAGGCAACTCAAAATTTGAATTTTTGGGGACAATCCTGATGATAAAAATAAAGACTCTAATTTTCAATATGAACATCAATATAAAGCAAAAAGAGAGAGAGAGAAGAAAATACTGAACCAAGCACAGGAAAAGTTCTTACCAAGTGATACCATATTCCCATAATTTTCCAACATCACATCTTTATAGAGATGTCTTTGAGCATGGGTCAGACACTGCCACTCCCTGTCAGTGAAGTTCACCGCTACATCCTCAAATGTCACAGACTCATGAATCAATATGCTCCTGTGGTCCTGGAAAAAAAACCCCTGAGTTCTCTCAGGAAACAGAAGCAGAAGAAAAGAATTTGTAGGGAGAAAGTTTACAGAAGTGAAAGGTTATTACTGCTTTGGTGAGTATTTGGGGATGTGAAAGGGAACATGGGCTTTTAGTAGTGAAAAATGAAAGAGGAAACAGTCCACAAGTGATTTCTTATGAGAGGGAACACCTGTACTTGAGAATCGCACAGGCAAAGAAGGCAGTGAGATAAAGTCACATTCAGAAGGCAGTGATACATTTTCAGGAAGGTTGGAAGGGGCTTCAGCTCACTTGGGCCTGGGTCATCAGTGTGATATCTGCTTCCGGCAGGTTTCCTTGGCTTCCATCTTTGGCAAAGGCAGGATGCTGAGGAGTTGGGAGAGCTGAGACAGGGGAAATAAGCCAAGAGTTAACATGATACAGCTTTTAACCTTTCTCCCCAACTGTAGAAGCTTCAGCAGCTGTAATCTAGGGGTTAAGCCTACTGCCTTATTGTATCCTCCTCCATTATTTCTCGAGTTTCAGTTCATGGTGTTGGGCATCTGGCCCAGGCACTGCAGTCAAGCCAACTGTAAGCGCACTTTCTCCCTCCCCTCCTCTACTACATGTTTTTCTCTGGTTTGTCTTCATTTTGAAATAACCTTACCCTCTACCCAAACAAAACAGGTTAAAAAGCCCAAATCACTGACTCCCAGCTTCTATACTAAAAAGTTGAAGTAATTTTCTCCAGAAATACCTTTTTTTTGGGGGGGGGGGCAGAAATATCCAGGATTAAGCCTAAAGCTTAGTTCTTTAGGTAATTTTTTAATGGCTGGTCTACCACTAATTTATTAGAAAAACATTTTCCTCGTTCCTACTGGAGAAGAATCACTTTCCCCCTGATTCTCCTGCTAATTCCCTAGTACCCTCTCCACAACAAAGTAATACAGTACATACAGTATTTTAAAGTATAAAAGTGTCCACGTATAATCCATATGGACTGGGTGAGAAGTATAGTTTCACATTACTAATTAATGGGGCTCTATTTCATTCCGTGTAGGCCAGCTCACCCTTTCTGTAGTTCCAATGTTATCTTTCTTGATGGTTCATCAACATATCCCCAAGTCCAAGTCTGAGCAATTTATTTTTGCTCTCAAGATACCAGCAGCATTAGAGTCATCTACTGTTAAGGGTTTAGGGCCCCAAAAGCTATCATTTCAGTTTTCCTTTAAGAGCAAACTGAACTCTTCTCACAGAAATCTCCCAAGAAGACTCTTCTTTGGTCTAGGCTATGCTTAGCTTTTGACCAAGACCATGGCTGTGTCTCAGTCATGTGGATTCCACTCAATTTTTCCACAGTCTCACTTTAAAAGCCCCAAGCTACTTTGTAATTCTTGGTTCCAAAAAGCCCCAAACCCACTTCGAGCTCATAGCAGACACATATTCTATCCCATAATGTTCCATAACAGTTCTTTTCCTCATAATATCAACAAAATTAAACTTCCCAATTAGCTTTTTTTCAACTAGCATTTTACTGTGAACATTTTCAAATATACAGAAAAGTTGAAAGAACTGTATGGTAAAATATCCATATACTCACCGCCTACATTCTACAATTAATCTTTTGCAATATTGGCTTTATCACATATCTATCCATCTATTCATCCCTCTATTAATCCATTTTATTTTTTGATGCATTTCAAAAGGTTGAAGATATGAGTACACTTTATTCCTAAATACTTTAGCATGCCTATCATTAACTAGAGTTCAATGTTTACTTTTTTTTGGGGGGGAGGTAAAACTTACATACGATGAAATGTACCAATCTCAAGTGTGCCTACCATTGGATGAGTTTTGACAAATGCATACCCCTATATAACCCAAACTAATCTCCAGAGACACCCCAATTGGATTTTTACCATATCCTTTTCATATACTGGGAAAATTTTGTCAACTTATAGTAATTCTTAAAGGGAAGCTTTGTTTTTAGCTGTAGAATTTGAAAGGTCAGTTGCTGCCCTCAAGTTAAAACCAGCTACATGCTCAAACAACAACATGAAACTATTTGTGAAAGCAGTGTACAGCTATTCTTCTAGGGTGATATTAATTCATTTATACACGTTAGGTAATTATAGATTTTATGGTCCTGAAAATCTGCCATGAGAGGAAAATTCAAGGTGGAAGAACTTAAAATCTTTTGAGAAAAAGAGAATTGGGAGGCTCACAATCAGATATGAACCATAAGAGCGTATGTTTTTATATTAAAAATAAAGAAAAAATTAGCACCCAAGTTAAGAAATACCCACTATTTGTTGCCTGTCTTAAATTTATAATAAATATGTTCTATATTATTTTCACTCATGATTCCTTGTATGGTGGAAATTTCAGAATTTCGTGCCTGTAAGTTTCAAAAGAGGAGCCCTGGAGACGCAGTGGTTAAGTGCTTGGCTGCTCACTGAAAGATAGGCAGTTTGAACCCACCAGCTGCTCTGCAGGAGAAAGATGTGGCAGTCTACTTCTGTAAAGATTACAGCCTCAGAAACCCTATGGGGGTAGTTCTACTCTGTCCTATAGGGTTGCTATGAGTTGAAATTGACTCGACGGCAATGGGTTTGGTTTAGTCTGAAGTTTCAACAATATACTTAGAAATCCATTTTACTGTTCTTTTTGAAAGTAATATATACTTTATAAAAAGCCTATTTTGGGGTGTACCTAGTCCTCTCTCCAGAAGTCTATGTCTTTCTGGGTCTGATTTTATGACTCCAGAATTGCTAAGTCCCACCTCCATCAGCCCCTTTTATACAAATCTTAACCACTTTCTTTTTCACAGATGCCACCAAAAAGCATTTCTAAAGCCCAGACTCACATTTCTCCATCTTCTTTTACTATCCTCAAAGCTTCATGGCAAAACTTTTGCTCCTTCTCTTGCCACTGCTTTTACATCTTCTTTTCTATTGTCTATCCCTCAGGTACCTATATTATATTTTGAAATCTCAGGGTTCCAAACACGTCTACATAAGTAAAATTATAATTATTCCAAATTTTACATGTTGGTAAACTGGTAGTTGGGTAGGAGTTACTGAATTATATCACAAGTTTCAAATGTGTAAATATTTACATACACATATATACTATTTATTATAGATATCAAGTTATATATAGTGTAGTAAATGATGGAATGCATTCAATTTATCTGATAAACTGCTTTGTAGAATCTTTTCTTATGAATCTTAGACTTTTTTTTACAAATCTGCTTTAAGATGAAGGCAAAAACTGGAAAAGTAATTGCTCTTGATACTGACCCAGACTCAGTATACAGCTATGCAATAGATGACCTTTTATAAATGCTCAATAATGAACAGACTTCTGGGCCCGGGGAAGGCATCTCCCATCCACTCTGTGTCCTTACTCCATTCTCACTGCCATGACTCCCATCACCCTATGTGCCTCACCTCTCTCCTGCAGGAGCCATGCATCAGGGGTAGAAAGAAGTTGACTTGGTGGTCCCGGATTTTCATGTGACAGCACAACCTATTGTAGGGCACAGAATGAAACTGAGGAGGTTAGAGAGGTGAGGAAAATATATGGGAATTCTCAACAAAATTCTAGTCAGCAGAATTCAACAGCATATCAAAAAAATAATACATAATGATCAGGTGGGATTCATAACAGGGATACAAGGGTGGTTCAGCATTAGAAAATCAATCAACGTGATTCATCACACAAATAAAACCAAGGAAAGTAAATCACATGATCATCTCAGTTGACGCAGAAAAGGCAGTTGATAAAATCCAACATCTTTCCTGATAAAAACTCTCAGCAAACTAGGAATAGAAGGGAAATTCCTCAACATAATTAAAGGGCATATATGCAAAACGAACATCAACATTATTCTCAATGGAGAAAGATTGAGAACATTCCCCTTGAGAATGAGAACGAGACAAGAATGCTCATTATCACCACTCTTATTCAGTATTGTACTGGAAGTCCTAGCTACAGCAATAAGGCAACAAAAGGAAATAAAGGGCATCCAAATTGGAAAGGAAGAAAACAATACCATTTACAACAGCCCCTAAAAGGATAAAATACCTAGGAAAAAACCTAACCAGGGACGTAAGACTTATACAAGAAAAACTATAAAACACTACTACAAAAAACCAAAAGAGACCTACATAAGTGGAAAAATATTCCATGCTCATGGACTGGAAGACTTAACATTGTGAAAATGTCAATGCTGTCCAAAGTGATCTATAGATATAATGCAATTATGATCTAAATCCCAACAACATTCTTTAATGAAATGGAAAAACTAATCTCCAACTTTATATGGAAAGGAAAGAGGCCCCGAATAGCTAAAGCAGTACTGAAGAAGAACAAAGCAGGAAGCCTCATACTTACCAATCTCAAAATTTACTATACAGCCACAGTAATCGAAACAGCCTGATACTGTTTCAATGACAGACAATTAGACCAATTGGACAGAATTGAGAACCCAGAAGTAAATCCATTCATCCACTGGCAGCTGATTTTCACCAAAGGGTCGAAGTCCATTCAATGGGGGAAGAAAGAGTCTCTTTAACAAATGGTGCCGGCAAAACGGAATATCCATTTGCAGAAAAATAAATCGGGATTCAGACCTCACACCATACACAAAAACTAACTCAAAATGGATTAAAGACCTAAATGTTAAAGCTAAAACTATAAAGTTCCTGGAAGATAACAGGGACAAAACTAGGGGACCTAATTTTTGGCATAAAAAGTCTATCAGTCTATCAAACACAACAGAAAAGGAATGAACAACAGAAGATAGATAACTGGGACCTCCTAAAAATTAAATACTTATGCCCATCAAAAGGCTTTACTAAAAGAGTAAAAAGACAATGTACAGATTGGGAAAAAATCTTTGGCAACAACATATCTGATAAGAGTCTAATCTCTAAAATATACAGAAAATTTCAACAACTTGACAACAAAAAGACAAACAATCCAATCAAAAAATGGGCAAAGGACACGAACAGACACTTCACTAAAGAGGACATTCAGGTGGCCAACAAACACATGAAAAGATGCTCACGCTCATTAGCCATTAGAGAGATGCAAATCAAAACTACAACGAGATACCATCTCACCTCTGCAAAAATGGCACTGATTAAAAAAACAAAACAACAAATGCTGGCAAGGTTGTAGGAAGATTGGAACTCTTAAACACTGCTGGTAGGATTTAAAATGGAACAACCACTATGAAAAATGGTATGGTGCTTCCTCAAAAAGCCAAAAATACCTTATGATCCAGTATTTCCACTCCTAGGTACATCCAAGAGATATAAGAGCAGTGACATGAACAGACGTATACACAACTATGTTCACTGCAGCATTATGCACAATAGCAAAAAGATGT